CACCAATCTTCGTTCTTCTCCAAGACGACTTCGATGACTTCACCAGTAGCGAACGAGAGATCATTTGGTTCCTGGTGGCAAAAGTAAATACTGTAAAGATACTGGGTGGGCGGCAAACTTACTCCCCCATCTTCGTTGTATGCCCAGATAGCTTTCACGAGTCTAGGCTTCTGGGAGGAAATAGGCGATATCGGGGGCGCTTGTACAGGTGGGGGCGGAATCGCTCTCCCTTTAGGCATGTCTGCTGGAGGCGGGATTGCTCTAGTCATGACTGCTGGATCGATAAAATTAAAACCGGTGGTCACAACGGACTGGCCTGCACCGCCGGGCAGGTGTGATATGATTTCACGCATGCTGCGGGCGTCTTCAGCAGACATATAGTTCTGAGACTCCAGGAAGGAGATATTGAGCTGCAATTGTGTCGCGACGTGGGCAAGCAGTGCGGCGGACTGAGCATCGTGTGGGACCGCCATTATGTTTCGTTGTAAGAGAGATAGTGGTAATTTTGATGCGAGAGGGTGAGTGTGTGACTAGTTGTACATTTGACACCGTGCACATCAGGAAATCAACCTGAAATTGATATGACCAGGTAGAGCTGACAAATCAAACCCATTATGATACATCTAGATCTAGAATTATATATGATTATCTTTGTGTAACATGTGTATGACAGAATACAAGACTGTGCTAAGGACACATCATTTTGATATATATGTGATAAGTTAGTGACACATGGATGAAGGAATATATGGCTATGCTAAGAACATATCATTTTGATGTACATCTTATCACTACACAACACATGTATGAAAGAAGACAAGACTATGCTGAGAACATATCATTTTGATCCACACCTGATAAATATGTGACATATGTATGACAGAATACAAGACTGTGCCAAGGACATATCATTTTGATATACATGTGATAAGTATGCAACATATGTATGAAAGAATACATAGCCATGCTAGGGACATATCATTTTGATACACATCTTATAAGTACACAACACATGTGTGAAAGAATACAAGACTATACTGAGGACATATCATTTTGATCCATATCTGATAAGTATGTGGCATATGTATGACAGAATACAAGACTGTACCAAGGATATATCATTTGGATATGTATGTGATAAGCATGCAACACATATATGAAAGAATATATGCCTCTGCTGAGAACATATCATTTTGATACACATCTTATAAGTACACAACATATGTGTGAAAGACTACAAGACTATGCTGAGGACATATCATTTTGATTCACATGTGATAAGTATGTGACATATGTATGACAGAATACAAGACTGTACCAAGGATATATCATTTGGATATGTATGTGATAAGCATGCAACACATATATGAAAGAATATATGTCTCTGCTGAGAACATATCATTTTGATACACATCTTATAAGTACACAACATATGTGTGAAAGACTACAAGACTATGCTGAGGCCATATCATTTTGATTCACATGTGATAAGTATGTGACATATGTATGACAGAATTTAAGACTGTACCAAGGATATATCATTTGGATATGTATGTGATAAGCATGCAACACATATATGAAAGAATATATGTCTCTGCTGAGAACATATCATTTTGATACACATCTTATAAGTACACAACATATGTGTGAAAGACTACAAGACTATGCTGAGGCCATATCATTTTGATTCACATGTGATAAGTATGTGACATATGTATGACAGAATTTAAGACTGTGCCAAGGACATATCATTTTGATCCATATGTGATAAGTATGTGACATATATATGACAGAATACAAGACTGTGCCAAGGACATATCATTTTGATATGTATGTGATAAGTATGTAACACATGTATGAAAGAATATAAGACTGTGCCAAGGGATATCATTTTGGTAGCACTTCATCCACCGAGACTAGTAGCTCTTCACCAAGATCGTGGATCTATATGAATAGGAAACACCAAATTTTGGAAACGGACTGGAGGGAGATCACGCGCTGTAGGATGAACGATATTTTTTTTGCTTCAGAGTTGGTCCATTGGGGTCATAGACCCTATGTTGGACGTTGTCTCGTCATAAGCTTCCCTTATCTTTATATATAATGGGTCGTGTCTTTGCGTCTTTTTAGCTTACTCGTATGGATGAACGAAGTTGTATATCTACAACCCGGGTGGAGGTGCTCAAGGCTGAAGGTTTCCGCACATTGTCAAGAGCGCAAATAATAAGCAGATGGTAATCAAAGACAGTGGTAGTAGCAAAAATAACATAAACTAAAACTAACGTACAGCCAACATATGCGTAATACCAGTACAATAGTGAGAACGTGGACGACGAAAGGAGGGGATTGCTACAAATTGGTAGCACACTGAGATTACAAGAGCACGGAAGTATCGGAAGAGAATGATAATGATAACTCTGAAACCCAATCATCGAGATAGTTGTCGGATAAACGTGAGTCCAACGTTATAGCCTCAGAGCATATGCCTACAATAAAATCAGTAAGAATGAACTGAAAAAAGTCACATACTCACCATCTGACGTGCCCTCGAACTCGGACAGGCGTTCCATGGCTTCCGAAAACATGTCTACTTCAGCCTGTGCGTGCTGCTTCTTTAAATCTAAAGTACGGACATCGGACTTAAGGATATCCACAGATTTTTGCTCCTTTGTTTTGAAGCTCTTCCTGTCAATGATATGTACCGCTTTGCATTCTGCAGAAGATGCGTTCATATAAGCACGGTATGTGACATTGTCTACCCAGGTTTTCAACAACCGAGGTAGCGAAAGTAGATCGTCTGGCTGCACAGTATCAAGAACATTGGATTCCTGTAGAATAAATATTACATACCCTTGAAACGCATTCAGAAAGATGCGGAACTTCGGAAGTTTTTGGAGAATCGAGAAGTGCGCGGATAGTATCAGGATCAACCTGCGTCATGCCTTGAAAATGCGATGATGCGAGAAGCCATGCATTACATTTGTCTTCAGTCGCCTTTGAAGGTTGAAAGAAATCGACATTGACAAAACTACGTGCTGCGCGCACTCCAGCATACACGCCAACGTCGACTGTGACCGGCTTCTGTCGGTCAACTAGAAAACACATTTTTAGTGTCGGACAGACTTTTCAATAGCACGACTCACTGGGATGATTCCTATTTTCTAGTTCTTCGCACAAGTTCGTGATAGCATTACTGAATAGTGAAACTTCCATTTGAGCTCGATACATTCGATCTTGCATCAAACATCGTCCTTCTCGCGAAAGGAATACCATACAACTCCCCTCTTCTCGCTGGAGCTGCGTGTGTACGGCGACCTCCTTTAGGCACGTATCAATCAGAGCCACGAGATCATGTGCGTCAACCAAGCCAAACACCACGGAAGCTGTGATAATGAGAGATTCTGGGAGCTGGACATCTGAAGTCATGAAAATATTTTTGAAAAATATGCGAGGGTACTAACTGTGTCGCAGCCCTTTGTCTGGAGCCAGTCCAGCAGAGCTGCCTCGGTCTGTTCAATTTCGAGAAAGTGACATATTGGAGTTGTTGGGTATGTATCAATAACACCTGGATAAACATTATTTTGCATGTTGAAGTCGAAGGGAGCAGGCAGGGCAACATTCTCACGGGGGTTGAGTACTTACACAATCTATACGCTCAAATTGTAAACCAAAGAGGATACAGCGATGGCGATCAAATTTAAAAAAATTGCTGTGCAATGGCCTGACGCCATCGTTTGTAAGCAGTGTTTGATAACCAAGAGGATACAGCGATGGCGATCAAATTAAAAATTGCTGTGCAATGGCCTGATGCCATCGTTTGTAAGCAGTTTTTGATAACCAAGATAGCGTAAGTCTAACCTTTCTCGGTCGTTCTTGCTGTGACAACTCTCATAATATCACTAAGGCTTGCATCAACGGAGTAATATACATTCAACAATCCAGTGATCACAGACAAAAGATTGGACATGTGACAGATACAGCTGTTTCATACACACAACGAGCACAAGCTATTTTTTCTTTGGCCGGGAAATGCGATAGACGTCTTTCTGGCTGTACATTTGTACCTTAGTCGTGGGATGGAATGCTCATTGCGAGTGAACTCACGTTATAAGACACAAACTCCTCAGAGTTTGCCTGAATGTTTGTATGTCAGGATCGTCATGCTGTTGCAAGAGCATCGGACCAGTCTCCTTCAACTCCGCAAAAACTTGGCTGGCAGATGGAAAAGTCGCCAGTAAACCGCGACGGTTCGGGTAATGAGAGAGTCTTTTCATTAAGACCTCATAACACTAATGGGACAATCGAAGTCAACCGGAAACTTGAAGACTACTAGAGGTCACATACAGAAGAAGCGAAGAGCGCCATTGCATCCCACGGTAGGTATGGAGCATTGCGAAACGTTGCAGGTTCAATCTCAGCAATAGTCAATCGGACCTCGCATGTATCCGTAGCACGGTAGAGGACGTGGTAAGCAACCTCCTTGCAGATCTGAAGGGCCAAGAATCGGTAAAATCCATTTTCCTGTGAGGAAATTAAGAGTTCGATAACGAATGAGAAGTCAGAGAACTCACGGAAAGTGGGAGCATATGTGCCGATGGTCTGATGAGCATCTTAATGCAGTCCACGATCTTGTCTGTTAGAACGTCACCGTATGCACCATCCCCAAAGCCAAAGCCTGCGCGAGAGTCGTCGAGGGTGTTGGTCAGCTTGCGCCTCACATCATATAAAAATTGCGAGAACCATGGGGAAGCCTATTCTGCGATAAGACAAGTGAATGAAACCAATGAGGACACGTACCAGTTGCAAAATTTCACTTTCAGGGATAATCCTCTTGCTAATTTGGCAATGAACTGGAAATAAATCAACAAGTGTAGTAGGTATTGGGGAAATGAGCTCCTACCGGTCTCCAAGGCCGAATGATTGACGTTGGCCTTGATCAGACTGAGAGGCCAGAGTCGATTAATCACCTCAGTTCTCTGGTCACGTTCGTCTTTGAGGACGATTAAGTGGGGATTTCCTGTTGTACCGGATAAGACCACAATCCTTATCAGGAGTCGAATATAGGCAAGTGGATATCGCCAGTGCTGGTACCCCTTCATGATCATACTGATAGTACAGTCTCCTGGTTCCTTGGGTTTGGCCACTTCTTGCCCCAATACAATGGCGTTGCTTGAGCCCGCTGCGGTGTCATTCACAGATTCGGAGCAAATCCAAGACTGTGGGTAGTTTGATGTTCCCTGGCCTGATGCAGTAATGATATCCGAGAACGCAACGAGGTCCTCATTAGTAATTTTATGGTACCCAGTAGGATATCGTGCAAGATGAACAATAGTGCCTCCAAGAGGATTTGTCTACAAGGGTGTCAAGTAAGATATAGTTCCATTGCAAGTTAGACTTACGTAGTGGTATAGACTATACATATCACTCTCGTAGCTCACCACCGTCAAACAAGGCAAATTCAGAGGTGGGGAAGTGAAGTCGTGCTAAAGATTTGATCAGTGACAAGGCAGGATGCAGTCGCCATTCAACGTACCATCAAGACGTAGCAAGGAACATCAGTGCGGGGGTTCAAGAACGGTGAGGCGTGCAGCATGGGAGTCCGAATGTAGCCCACAAGACACAGGTGGTCTCTGAGCTTTGTGGAGGTCAGTTTTACAGCGTGTAGAAAGTAAGATACCTCACATTAAGTCGGGTCTCTATCGGACACTACACCCATAGTCAGATCACATCCTCGAGATACTCGAGGTATAATACTTACATATAGAGCATACACCGTTGGCAGCGACCCCACCGCTAGATAGCCTACGAAGTCCACACTTGTCGATGGTTCACCCTGAACGAAGTGCTAGTTAGGTTGATTCGATGAATAAGACAAGACAGCTCACAGATGAAGGGATCACCGAGTCATTCGACACGTTGTAGATATAGTAGTCGTGGCCCGCGCTATGTGCGCCATGGAATGGAGTGAATAGAGACATGTTGGAAAAGTGCACATGGCGCCCTCGATACTTATAATGCGACCAATATGCCGAATTGGATCGTCGCCGCCCCATTACAGTACGAGTGTAATAAACTTGACTAAATTATCCCATTTGTCTCTTCGATAGAATTTACAATCGATGGCACTACTAAAGCGCCATTGATCGATTTTTACGTGCAAAAGCACAGATATTGATATCCGCCATCGCATGGGTTATGCGCGCTAGTTCTCATAATCTAATTCTAAGTCGCTACCGTACATCTCATCAAAACCAGACTCTAGTGATTCCTGACTGGAGCTGAACTCCTGATCAAGGCATCGCAGATCATCTTCATCTTCTTCGTCTTCGTCTTCAAATTGCTCGTCTACGGTATCTTCGGTATCGCTTTCGACCTGTCCTGCAACGGAGCCGCCTCGTGAGTCAGGAAGCCAGGAACGATGGTGAGAATACACGTGTCCAACCCCAAGGCCGTAATGGAAACGCATGATCATGTCACGGTCTACAAACCTTAAAAATGGTTAGTTTGTTCCAGAACATTTAAGATGTCGCGTGAGCACGCGTACCGATTAATATAATATTCGCGCCAATCCTGCTTGTCCCCCGCTAATGCTGAGATTCCTAATCCATCGGGGTGCCTCTTGCAACTGTTGAAGGCAGGAATAATGTGGCTGCCCCTAAGAACATCCGTAGGATCGAGAAAGTCAAACGAGTGCTCCTCCGTCAACGAGGGAAAGCTAACTCGATCCAGAGTCGCGGTATCCCAAGATGAGACCTGATCTAAGGCCTCGTACCATTGAACCCATAAAAACTCCATTCGAGTTGGAGTGTAGTCAATGAAGCCGGCTCCTATGTAGATTACATTAACATGATATATTCCAAGAACCTTACCATACATAAACCGATGACCGTGATGGTCCACATCCTCCTCAGTACGAAGGACCATCACGTTGCAGTGTGACGTCCGTGGATTGATAACGTCTTGAGCTCTCCGGACGTCGTACGAAGTATAGTTGAACCTCGCAACGTTGTGACGATACATGCGGTCGTCTTTCAGGATAATTGTATTCACGTCTGTTTCTTCTCCCGGCCCGTGACTAAGAGTCGTATTGATTCGACGTAACAAGTGATTCTTGAGTTTGGGGACAAAGTTCTACAGATGCGGCATATAAGATGTTAACTGTATCGATGTGACATACTGACCTTGATAGCTGGGTCTTCTCGATGGAGACGTAGATAAGACCCAATATGTACAGGGGCCTTCTGCGATAAGCCAATGTGGTGATGGATACGCGGACTGGTAGCTAATTCTGCAATTTCAGTATGAGGGCGTTGGGTAACTTTATCCCCAATCCGCCGAATACGGGCCTGACGGCGCTCAATCCGAGTGAGCTGTTTAACAAATAGCTTGCGATCCGTACGACAATATCGGGCCTTTGGCAAACGATGTTCGAGTTCACCCTAAGAAGATAATCAGTACCACCTGGAAGTCCTACGTTACAGGACTGACCGGCTCGGTGCTATATGAATCACATGTCCCATACCGGCGGATTGTATTCACATAGTCCCCCAAGGCGTGGAACTTGTATGTCCGAAAATTGAAGGCCTTTGGGCGGTGCGAAGGCTTAGCAGGATGGTGTGCCTCAGATGAGGCCGCATGAACGGCCTCCTTACCCTTCTGCGTCGCAGAAGGTCTTGCAGCTTGCTTAGCTGCACGTCGAGAACGAGCTTCAACCTCCTGACGTAGTTCGCGGGTGTCGTACGCGCGACAAACACGTACGTCAAATTCGCGGAATTGATGGCCGAGTGTCGTTGTGACTTGGTCCATGATATCTAAAGTCAAGTCCGAATGCATACGGAGCTTAGCCAGTCCGTGCCAATGAGCCATGTTAAATAGCAGCGTAAGGATGGTCGTGTTGTGTGGTTCGGGGAGGAGTCCGTCGAAGACGGGAATAGAACACTTCATACTTCAGTTAGGCATTATCTTTTATCATGGCGATAGGATATACCTGGAGCAGGTCTTCGAAATTGCGAGCTGCCATTCTCTTCATCTCCGAAGAGTTGGCTGCAAACTTGCGGATTGTAGCTTGACCGAATGTCGGAATTTCCCTGTATCTAGGGATCAAGGGTCAAGTTCAGAATGACAGTCGGCGATGACACAGCATACCGTTGGTCCAAGATATGGATAAGACTTTTGTCGTGCGCCGAAATTATGCGTAATAAGTGAATAAACAATGACTTCCATACGCCAATCTCAAACTCGTGCAACAAATCTACGACGAGCGCGGCGAAGATATTGAACCCCAATGGACCAAGGCGGTCTGAGAAGGAGTTCTAAGATAAAGTTATTGAGGTTTGACCAAGAACGGACATTGCAGGCTCACCAACGTTGGCACCCAAGACTGTTCTTTTAGGATACGTTCGACAGCTACGCTGCCAACTGCGCGGTCCTGATTATAGATGAGATCGCGCGCAGTTTTTACCATTGTATCCCTGCTCGCATCATCGCGAGCTAATGTCTGGCGTTGTCGTCTATCCATAGGCCGTCCCATGTTGTGGATTCGCTCCTTGGGTATTAGGCAGCGCGGGCATGGGCAACGGCCTAGGTTTCTGACTGTCGCAATCAATACCCTATTTCATAGTAGAATTAGCATGGTTGGTAGAGCAATTTAAGAAGACAGACTTTTCAGGGTAATCAGCCGAATATGTAAATATTCTAGGGTAGAATCGACGTGTGATGCCGTCGCAGCATCGAATCACTATACCGTGTTCGTAGGCCTGCAAGAATTCATCGTCCAACAAGACCTTCCACTGCTCGTGGAAAAACTCCCTGCGACAGTGTGTCGCGCAGTCAATGTTGATTCCTTTTCCGCCTGTGAAATCTTTGAAAGAATCGGGAAGCTAGAGATTGACGTTAGATCTCGCAATTAAATCGATTCAGTGAGGAGGCATACCGTCTCAAAGTAGGCAACGTGGTTGCTCAAATGAC